AATTTTGTGATCTTGAGTAATCTACAAGTTGGATTGAAGAAAAATTTTGTGATAAAATAATAACCTTAATTTTCAAAAAAAATTCTAATTTAGAAAGCAAGTAAATGATTCAACAAAGAGATATTGTTGCTAGAAGATCAACATTAAGGTTAGAAAATGAGAACTGTTGATACTTGAGAAAATTATGAGTTGTTTTTTCAATTGTTTATCCTCCATTGCTAAGTAACAAGTGCATTTTCAAGCAACACAATATGTCATATAACACCATTGTAATATTAGCTTGTGACTCCCACTAATAGATCTTAATTGGTGGAACTGTTAAAAATATAGGTTTTAATTATTTAAATATAAAAATATCAGTATTAGAGAGTCTTTTTGATGATTTAAATATTCATTAGAATTTTAAAAAATTTATAAGGTAAAAGAGTCTTATTTAAAAAAATTATAAAAATAAAATCTTAATAAGTTTTGGAGACAATTAACTTAGTTAATTTAATATTTTTACTTATTTTTGAATATTAAATATTAATATTAAAATCAATATCTATATTAGTCTTCTATATATATATATATATATATATATTATTTATTAGAAACCTATAAATATTAGTCAATAGTTAGAAGAAGCATGAAAAAGAATTTCTTGCCTTTTAATTATATTAGAAATATAATTTTTAGTAGATTTAAATTAATTTTATTACTATAAAAAAATTATCAAGGTAGGAAATTTTGGATTTGATTTGATAGTAGTATTATAAAATTATTATAAAAACTTTTGGAATTTATTTAGAATTTTTTAGGAATTTTTAGTGAAAATTTTAAGACTTTGTTAAAATTGAGTTTTTACCGCCTTGAGAGCTATTAAGAAGAAATGGAGTGAGTTTTAAAGGCCATACACAGTTCCAAAGCTAATTGGGTGTTTTTGAATACCATGATGAAGTTAAAATGTAAAAATATTATTTACTAGAAGAAAATAGGAAGACTAGTAGTTAATCTAGTTCTCTTAGGAAGAAAGGTGAAGTTCCATATTTGTTGTAGCACCTTGAATAGAATTAAGAGGATAAGACAAGGGCCTTGTAGCTTTTCTTAACCAATCCTTATACACTATATGTGTGCCTTGGTGAGGCTTGAATCCTTAATCAAAAAGCAAGTTATCCTCGAAATAAATATTTTTTATTTAATTATTTTAATTATTTTCTTAATATCTTTAATCCTTCATACTTAACTCATAGTAAATTAGATTTACATCTTTTTTACATCATTGAAAATATAATAAATTTAAAAATCAAGAATATAAACATATATATATTATCAAATAAAAATTCAGTAAACACATTGAAATTAAATTTTAGAGTGTGTATTTGCTTGAATACATTCCTTTTACTTGTTTTGTATTTGTTCTTCTTTTATTCTTGTTCATTGCTTGTTTCACTTTATACCACCAATTATAAGCAATTCTTAATTGAGTCCATCTTATAATTTGGATTGATGGATAAATTTTACTTTCACATAACAATAAAAAAAGATAATTGTGTTTTAAAAATAAGTAGTACAAAATATGCTAAAGACTATTTGATTCAATTATAAATATTTCAAATTAGAGTTTTTTAGTTAAGAGTAATTTTGGACTTACAAGTATAAGTAGAAGTTAGTGCAAGTGAGTACTTGGCATAAATTTGCCATCAGACATTGGTGTAATTATTATACTTAGAATTATAAGTATTTAAATTCAAACTTAAAACAAAAAATTTAAATATTAATCTTAAATATTAAATATATTAGATTTTTAAGATATTAATAAAATAATTAAATTAATACTATATTTTATCATAAAAAATATTATTATTTAATGCATCCAAGATTTAAATTTTGATAAAATAGACATGAATAGGTCTAAAATCCAATAAGTTAGAAGGGTGTTTTGGACTTGACTGTGTTTTAGACAAAACTTATTAATTACTTTAGATCATTACCAAATGGCTGATTTTTTTATTGGATATTAATATCTATGTACTATTTCAAAAATCATTTAATTTTTTTTATAATTACTAAGTTTTAGTCAAAATTTCTATTAAGAAAAATTTATTACCAACAACTAGTTTTAATTGAATTGCATGCAATTCAAATCTAGTAGATATTGTAAGGACTAAAATTAGTTTAATTTTTTTAAAAAACAAAGTATTTATTTGGAAAGTAGTCTACATACATATTTTAAATAGTTTAAATAGATTTTTTTTAATAAAATTTTGATAATAAAATTTTCTTACAATCTCAAGTTAATATTGCTATTCTTGTTGAGCTTATACTTGATAATTGGTACAATGGCCCTCTTATAACAATTGGCCTTGGTATTTACTTAAAATAATTAAATTAATTATTATTAATTACTTAATTTTTTTTATGGATAACATACCTACTGGATTTAATTTTCTTTATTCTAGACTTTTTAAATTTTCCAAGTATTAAATGAATCTTTGACATGTCTTCTACTATTTAGATTGTATTGATCTAATTCTTTGTTGGATTAAGTATCTTTAACCTATCTTCTATTATTCAGATCTTATTAGTCTAAATTTCTCATTAAGTCAATTCTTCTAAACTACCTTTAGGTACCAAGGCTGATTAACATGTCAACTACTTATAAAACTTCATAAAAAACTTGAGCTATAATTGTAAGATTTGGATGTAGCAAGAAGGTGAAAATGAAGAATCAATGAAATACAAAAGATGATACAAGAAGTTTTTTGTTTTTTAAAGAGGAACAATAATGCTAATATAAAAAGAAAGTTAGATAAAAGGAAGTTTTATAGTAATACAAAGAAAAATATTAAATAATAAAAATAAAACTCAATTATAGTACTTGTATTTAAGAAAGATGGTCTAATAGATTTCTAGAGCTGCTACACTTTAATTTGTATTAGTAAATAACAAAAGAAAAAATAATAATTTTTTATTTATACATTTATTTATTAAACATTAGCTAATTTTACTAGATTTTGAGATTATCTTGATACTTAATTTTTTTTTCAGCAAATTTATAAACATTAGATTATAATGCATTATTTTTCTTTTATTTGTAATACTATTTGTATAGTTTGTGTTTTTTATTAAATACATATTTTATATGTAATAATATTTTTTTTTGTAAAAAAACCAATTCATGGTAAATTTTTATGTTTTATTTTTTTATTATATCTTAAAATTTTTAATTATGATTTTTTTGCCATCTATATCAAATATTTTAAATTGAAGGCCAATACCAAATTGTTTAGATAACTTAAGTCAAAAGATTAAAATCCAAAGGATTTCAATTTCGTCTATTATTTTTCCACCATCATTTATTGTTTTTAGTATTATAATTGCTTGATGAAGATTGAAGTTCAAATTATATTTGTATTATGTTTTTACTTGCTTTAAAGCTACCAATGCACAATCTAATAATCTTATTCAAATAATTTTCAAATCCTCTTCTTTAAATATTGACCAATCTAATCCATTGCACACTTCAGCGTTTTCCCACAATCTTATGCCTTTCACTAAAAGTGATATCATATTGATGGCATTGTAGCATTAAAACACATAAAAAGATAAAGAAAAATTCTGTTTTCATACTTTAAAAATTAAATTAAAATACTGTATCTAATATTGTAACCACCACATTTCCATATTACATGGCTAAAACTCCTAGCTTAATCCTATTCAAATGAATCACATTAATGTCTCTATCACTCTTTGGGGTGAAAGCTTATCTGGCATATTTGACACCTAGGTCAAATATGGATGTGTCTTAACACCCACTTTAGTGCAATGATAATTTTTCAATTCCGACATCCATAATAATTAGATTTCATCACAAGATAACTCATAAATGATATTATTATTGCTATTATTATTATGACAAGAACAATAAGATAAACAGTCATTCTTATAGGGTATCATTTTGGCAGGACTCATTTTGTACTACTTCCAAGTGCTGAGAACAACTGTAGTACGATTCCTTATGACTGATCCCAGCAAAGAGAATGGAAAAAAAATAAAAAAATAAAAAAATAAAAAATGCTGAATTCTTATCCTGTTGTAATCAATGAAGGATCGAGGCAGTCGGTTTAAAAAAATCTGATTCCGATCTTGAAGCCGTGGGGCGTTTTGCTGTACTAATGTCGATCAATTGCAGAGACCTTCAACATATTTCGGTTCCATTGCAGATTGTGCTCCAGCTTGTTGGTTGATGACTCTGTTCATCCTAATATCGCTCAAGTCAGCAGCATCTGAGTGACTCCACGCTGTAAGAATGGATAAGCCTCTCTCATACTGTTGTGATGCCATTGGCTGACAATTTCATCAGTTGTTAAGTTCACCAGCAGGAGACAGTGTTGGCGTTACACTGATGCTGAAGCTATTGGTTGTGGAGGAATATTGTGGGTAGGGAGGGGGATACAGTGCTGGTGATCCACAGACATCTTCTAAAGGGTCCTGCAGGACTGCGATTGATGACTGACATGGTTGGAACATCTGCATCGGTCTAATGAGGTTCAATTGCAAAGCTACTAAGGGTGCGAGTTCGACTGCTGGGTGTTTTGTAATGCGGTAAGCTTTTCTTGGAGCTGCAGTTCAAATTAACTAGTTCATTTCCTCTGTCGCGGACCCGCGCTTATTGCAGAACAGCTTGTCTAGCGTAATTACTCGGAGTAAACAAGTAGAGTGCTGGAGAATGCTTGCCCAGTATACACGCGGCGATACATCATTAAAGACATGATGTGTGTGAGGATAATAAATAGGTCATAATTTGTAGGTAGGTAGACAAAAAAACAAATTTGTACAGGTCACAGATGAATGTGTAAATGTGACATTCTTCTCGAGAGGAAAAAGAGGATGGTGACTTCCGCGTTATTTACTATATATATAGATAGATATATATATATATATATATATATATATGTACATATATATATATATATATATATTTAAGATCAGTTTACAATCCAAGAGTTTTAACATGGTTGGAAGGGCACCACAGAAAAGGATATAATTTCTCTTTCCAACACGAAAGAATAAGCTACCTAGACTCATTGCAATGATGGATGCCAGTGAGACAGAAGACATATGCTTCGCCTAAAACCATAGTTCTATGGACCACTGTCGTTCCAAGTTGCAATAAATTAAGGTGTGCTGTGTTCTAGTTCAATGTAGTCTACTGTTGTTTCTACTGTTTGATCAAATGGCGGATTGCAGATACAAACATGACTGCAAAAGGATGATTTTTCAATTACGGTTACATAAGACTCCAACTCAAGCCCTTCTTGACGTGCCTGAAAATGCAATAACATAATAAAAAAACTGGATACTAATGTTTGCTCAGACAAAGCTGGTTCAGTGCGAGGGGCAACTGTACGCTAGTAACTAGTTGAACTACGGAGTTCCGAAAGCAGAGTACAGACCTTCCATGATATCCGTCGAGGACAATTTGCCAGCTGCTGAGCAATGAAATGGCTGTTGACACGCATCACACCACATGGATTTCAGAAAATGTTCACTTTCACATCGAAATAATAATGGCAGACGCAAGAAAGTTGATTAAGTTCAACCGATGGTGGAGAAAGAGCGCATACCTTAACAGTGATGTTACAAACGAATCTTTTGAGAGTCCTGATGATACTGCAGCGAACTACTTCCAGACCGAGGGATTCCATGGACTTCAGTAGAAGGCTTTGGAAGTTGGGAATCTGCTCACATATCATCTCAAGGACAACGTTATCTGAGGCTAGTTCCGATTGAACAAAGAACCTTTTCACGCAGTCGCTCAGGGGTATAGGGATCTGAAGCACTGCATTTTGGCCGCTGGGCTGTACTTCGAGGGGTCTAATCACCCCGGCCGTGTTAAGACCGCTAGACAAGGCCATGGAAGAGGACGACGGAGATCCAGATTCGAGTGCTTGCAAGTTGTATACTGGAATAACTGCTAGCGATCCGATTTTCTGAATGATCTTATTGAGCTTGACGCCGGGGGTATTGGGCAGGCCACCTGAAGCCACGGCCGATCGAAGCTCATGGCGCCGTTTCAAGATCTCGTCCTTTCTATGTTGCAGACTCTTCACCAGCTTTATGCTGTCTTCGACAATCGTGGATCTGTCACGCTGCCATGCCACAGTGCAAGTTCAATTCCTGAGGCCCAAGTTTACAAGAAAACAAGCCTAATTAAAAATCCAATTATTTTGAATTTCAATTGAAAACAGAAGAATCTAAGAAAGAAGATGACTGGGGTCTGAGAACCATACTTTCGTGCTGGGAGGCAGCAGTGACTCCAAGGCCAGAAACTTCCCGGCCATGTCGTCCCTCCGCCAGCGCTCCCGAACGATGTGCTCCACTTTGTCGAAGTATCGTGTCTTTTGCGTCCGTATGTTTGCAGTATGAGCTGTGTCTTTCCTGCTTCTCTTAGGTGGCCGTGGGCACATTTGAGGACCTAAACCTACCCCAGAATGAAATGGTCCATGCTGACTTACGTCGACAATACTTGGATCTCCAACAGCAGCAGTGGCCGGCAGCAGGCAGTGAGAAGTAGATGGATGCTGAAGAGCTTGCACTTGAATATGGGGTACTGCTTGGATTCTGGTCGGTATCGTCTCCAGGTCCTTCTTCAGTGAAGGTTGATTGGTCCGCGTTTCATTCTCAACAATCCTGTCCTGTCGTGGAGCAGCTTTACTTTTGAAGGTCCTCGGCCTTCCCTTGCGATCAGCGGCTACTGTGACAGGGGGAGTCATTTCTTGGGGCTTGGGCATCGGAGACATAAGCGCTTTCGCCGAATCCCCGGTCGCATGAGTCACAGGAGTTCGAATGTCCTGCACAGGAATGACTTCGGTTTGAGATCCAAACGCGCAAGGTGATGAGCTAGGTCTGCTCCCATGAGCCGGAAAAGCATTCTGAAAGACCGTCGACACTGAGACCGCGGGACCTTTACAGACACTCCCATCTCGGCCTACTATGTCCGGTTCGACAATCTCAGGGAGGCCTTCAAAGAGCTTGTGAATACTGTTGTCTATGTCGAGTTCACAAAGCGTCTGACTCAATACCGACGGAAATGCGTTGTATCCACTTGGGGTGTAACTATGGTACAGACTATCATAAGAGAAGTCCATTGTTGAAGGTGTAGATGACTCGGCCCAAGATGTAGGGGCTTGGAGCATGGGACTGGAATGGCAATGATTGTCTACTGCCTGCATCATTTCACCGGTTGTATACTTCTCTTCGGTTTGGACTTGCATCGATGATCCCCTAACGTCGACTTGCCTCCACCTTCACTAGTAATGTGCCCAAGATGCCGCAGTGCACTACGCCTGCATCATACGATGCAAAGCGGTGAGAACCAGGGTTACACCAGCATGTACTTGCGAACAAATTGAGCCCTTTGCCAAATTGGTCCAACAATTCGGAGTGAGGCTGGCTTGTGCAAACGGGCATTTCAGCGAAGAGCTTGGCCAGAATCAGTAATCCGGAGGAGGTCGCACCGGGCCGTGCAATAGTAGCACAGAAGTGATGATAGAATAGTTCAGAAACTGGGTGTACTCCAATGCAGTTACAGAGAGGAATATCGACGCAAGGTGGTCTGTAACACGCAGCCTGCAGATGTATTGTACCTTCCACACGGATTGCAGCTTTCAACCGCAATAGTTTTCTTCTGCACCTAGACGTAAAAATCTGAGCCCTTTAAAAAATCAGAGTAAAAAGCACGAAGACTAGGGAATCTTCCTCATTTTCGGCTCGCTCTAACAGTTCACTCCCGCACTCTCTCCGAGGTGATACAAATTGAAATCACTTCCCACTCGCCTCAGGTACCAAAGCTGAGCCTAGAACACATGTAATGGAATTTAACTAAGTTAGATGAAACGGCGAATCATGAAAACATTCGGTACCTAGTGATGGTGTCCAAGACATTCACACTCTCCTCAGCCATCTCCCCACACAAGAGTCTGAACCTTCAACTAGCACTAGCAATAAAACCCTTCTCTCACAATATTGCCAGTCCAAAGTCTCCAAGAAGACGCCCGGGCGAGCTATGATGATAATCACGCTAAACTGCCTTCTAAGCTTCTGGTCTCAACAATCCTCTACGACAGGAAAACTAATCCCCGCACTCCCAAACAGTCTCTCACCAGGATGAGGTACTAATCCTCCCTCCCTCCCTCTCGCTCTCGCTTCACCCAGCTGCTTGAACACTCCCCAATCCCCCAGCCCGTCTGGTTTTCAACTTCCTGAACGCAGACAACGATACGATCAGGCCACGTTTAGCTTTAATGGTATGACACTCCAGGTTCAATGCTCCAGGCAACTCCAGGAAGCTGACGAGACGAGGAGGGACAATCCTTCATCGAATGGAAGAGGTGTGGGGGTGGGGGGAGGGAGGAACCGAGGCCGTTCGGAAGTAGAAACAATCACCCCCGCGCCAATTTAACTAGGAAAGTACATTTCTCCGGATGCCAACTGGTGGTCTCCTCCAGCAGCAGATGATGCCGCGTTCATCCAGGATGGAGACGGGTAGCGGAACTAGCAAATAGGAAGCGGACTCCGAGGCACGTGAGCGGCCGCGGCCCGACCTGCCTTGCCCCACGCCTGCTGCTGCTGCTCCTCCTCCTCTCACTCTTTGCTGCTTCCGACACCTGCACATCCCCTCACTACCCCCACCACACCCTCCGGGCCTTGCGTAGCGGCACCTCTACACTGCCTCTAGCCTGGACGACGTCACCTCCCAGAGCTGCAGTAATTAACCTTCGCCTACTGCCAAAAGGTTCGGGATGGTGCGCGACCACCACCCGCGACCACCACCTCCAGGTCGAAAGCCCCCACACACAATCAATAAATCCCACATCACGTCGTGTCTAGGTCCGAAACACACGCCATATATTTCGTATTGTTTCTTTTTCCGACAGCCGATGGCTCTGCTTGCGCCGATGGTAGTGCCTTGTTCCGAAGCCACGCGCACCGCCTCACCACCATGGCCTTCTTCTTCTCCTTCTTCTTCTCCTCCTCCTCCACTTCGGAGACGAAGCAGTCCAACTCTCATCCTCACACAACACCCTCACTCACTCACACACTCACACTCTTTTTCTCTCTCTCTCTCTCTCTCTCTCTCTCTCACACACACACACACTCATACACATATTCCTGCATACAAATACAATGTTGTTTCTCAGTTCTAGATGCAGCAGATGCAGCTTCAAAACGTTGTCACTGCAGTCCCCTCTTCTTCCCACACCATCTGCCAGACAATACTAACTTCTTTAGATTATATGAGACTCATTGGTTGTATTTTATTTATTTATTTAGTATTATGTTTGACATTTAATGGATATACTTGTTGCAATGGTTATTGACTTTATTGTACAAATAATGTCCAAGATTTTAAATTCTCATTTCTTGGGCAAATGATGGAGCATCTTATTGGGGTTTAAGTATTATGTCTGTCTTTGTAAGGATCTCTTTCTCTATTTGTGTTATAAAAAATTAATCTATTATGCTAGAATTTGGTGTTCCACTTGATTGTTGTATGTTGACTAGTTCTTATAATTGTTTTTAATCATTTGTAAATTGTCTCAACACTGATGTTGTTGTGTTTTGTTGGATAATAGATATAGTGCTGATTAGTATATTTATCCATTGTAATAACTAATTGCAATCCATTGTTAAAAGAAAGAAGGTGGTAAAAACAAAACTTCATGTTACAATCTAGAATAATCATTGTTTAATTGCTTTGGTTTTATCTTTTTTTTTAAGTATTTTTAACAATGTTGTGAACCAATATTGATTCACAATCACGGCAAGATCATTACATTTTATTATTAAACTATTCACATGTGTAATATTCTGAATTTCTTAGATTTAGTTATTTGTAGAGTTGGTTATTTCATTTTTTCTATAAAGACGCCTTTTAGTGTTTTTATAGATAATTAAAGATAATCTTTCATGTAGTTTAGTTTTATCATTACATTGATAATTTTAAAAATAAAATAAAATTTTAAAGAATGATATAATTGTAGTGAATGTAATTAGTATTTCGCTCAAGAAAAAATAAAATTATAAATCCCAATTTTTTTTATAATGGTTAATAATAATATTTAGAGTGATTAATATATTTAATGATTATTAACTTTTATTGATATATACATGTAAAAAAATCTAAAACTTTACAAAAAAAATTATAATGTAAAAATGAAGTGATAAATCATTACACAAAGCATTAGAGAGGAAAAAAAATTTGGATCTTAAAATACGGATTTTTTTAATATTATAAGATTTTGTTTTCTAGTTTCATTTTTAAAGTATCAAGTTTCTAACTAAAGTCATAAAGTTAATTTTGAATATTGTATATCACTAAAAATAATAATGTCAACAACAAAAACATATTTAACTTTTGAACATTATATTTGAATTTGAAGAAATCTATATTCACAGTCAAAATGACCAGTTTTTTTAAAATAAATATACAGTAGTTTGATTATTTAAATATTAATTTTAGTTTGGGTCTTGTTTTTATATTCAAGCAGATATTGAGAAGCCATTAAGATGCATAATCAACTATTCTTCTAAGTAAAACAGTTGAATTCTTAACCTTTAAAAATATTTCAAATTTTGTGAGTAAGAATTTATATATATTCACACATACACATACTATGTGTTTATAATTTTTAATTAAAAATTAATCAGAATTAACTTTCAAAATCATTCACACAACATAAATTTCAAAGAATGTTAAAATCATTGTTATTTATGATAAACATTTGGACTATATTATAACAGTTTCTATGAATTGTATATTTCAACAAATTGTATATAATGTTTCTGGCTTATTTTGTTAACTTAAAAGTGCAATCAAATAACCATCTATTTATTTTTTTAATTAATACTCTTCCAAATAAAAGACGCCTTGAAAAGTAAACTTTACTAAACATACAGATTGTTTAATTTATATATTCAAGTAATATCGGACATCAACTCTTTGTATATTTATTTTTATTTTCCATTATCAGTACCATCTTGAAAAGAACTCACGTAGAATTTTTCGAAAGAGAAAAATCTGTAGGGTAGAAACAAAGTTTCAATGCCTTTTTAAAAAATTGAATGAAAACATGTATTGTGTTTTAATCCCATAAGAAAAAAAATCAATTATTAATTTTGTATGTCAATATTAAAATATAATACTACTGTAATATTAAAATTTCTTTAACTTTCTTACAATCTATTATTATTATTATTATTATCATCATTATTAATACTATATCAGATGGCCTTAAAATTTAAGAGAGAAGGTGAGATGTTATAAAAAAATATAATTAACTAAAATTGAGAAGCCCCACTAAATTGATTTTATACTTAGAAATTGCAACTTAAAATCCCAAGAGGAAAAAATAAAGTAAAATGCATTTTCTTTCCTACATGATATAAATAGCCTTTTTCCTTACAATTTATGGTGCACCCACTTCGAGAGGTGATTTTTACAAAAAAAGAAAAAAATAGTAGTATCAAAACATACTAAAAATAATCTTTTAAAACCAATTTTTTTACATTTTCCATACTTGTTAGAATCAAGATCTAGCCTCTGTAACCACATTGCCTTTTAAGAGATTCTTATATCCCTACACAGTTGGTGCACACAATTCCACATCCAATTGAAGCATTTAATTGTTTATTCATTTGCTTTACTCGTATGTCCACTTATGAAACACAAAAATCAGAGCGATATTTTTCTTCACCAAGGAAGTAAAAATAGAATAAAATAAGTATTATTTAGTGGCGCTCTGATGGACAACCAGTTTTACACAATGTTACAACAATAAAAGATTATATGGCTTATTAAAACCCATGTTTTCAATATTTCAAAAAAAGAAATACGAAGTTTTTTTATTTTATTTTATTTTATTTATTTTTGAGACCTCATATATGTCAACAGGTAAAATAGATCTTACTTTTTTTATATCAAGTGAGTATATGCATTTAGAAATTTCCTTCTCATTTATATTATTTTAAAAAACGTACATATATAAATATATATAAATATAAATATGTATGTATGTATGTATGTATGCATGTATGTATGTATACTCATACATAAAAATATTCAATTTTAAAATTTAATCCTTCTTATTTTATAAAAATTTAAAATTTCTGAATTAAACCGGAATTGAAAATAAATAAATAAATAGGTGTTTTGGAGTAAAATTAGTTGGAATGCAGAATGAGAAGAAATAAAGGAGAAGAAAATTCCAAGCATGGGCGTTGAGTGGGAGGGGATGGATGGATGAATGGGTGGGTGGATGGATGGATGAAGATCTTATGACGTCGGCCTACATTTCATTCGTTGTGGCTTCCATTATTGCAACCCACGATCAAGACACCTGTCAACATTATTCCTTTGAGATCAACTGACACACAAACATAAAATTTTTAATAAATAATAAAAATAAAATAAAAGAGACCCAAAAAAAAGGAATAAATGCTCACCATCTAATTTTCATGTTCGAACTCAAAAGCCACAATATTTTTATCTTAATCATGTTATCTCAGACAACATATCCTTCTGATCACGAATTCTATTTTAAGCTCCCATTAAATGATCGATATTGATTGTTTATATATATATATATATATAAACATTTTCTAAAGTAAAAGCAAGTAATACTATTGTTCCATGTTTTGTCTTTTTCTTTTTAAAGGAAAAAGAGACAAAGAAGACCTTTAACTACACTGTACTGAAAACCAACAACATTCACGAATGTAATATCTTCTGTTCTGATATTTTCTATTGAGAGTACATTATAATTTTAAAAGTAGATACTGAGTGTTTCTTTCTAGTGTGTGAATTCAATGCATGCTCACGTTAAAATATAAATATATTTTTGTTTATTTACAGACACCTGCAGATATAATAGTAAAATGTAGGAAAACATGAAAACAATGTGTAGAATACTGAAATCATTTCCTGCCTGTGACTGCAAACTTAAAAGTGCCTCATAATTTGTTTTGGGTTGTGATCATATTCACTTTTTGTTGTCGTTTTCTTTACTTGAAAATAAATCATATATTATTTGTGGAAATACCTGGATACTGTGCAAATTATTTGGAAAGCACCAAATGTCAAAGAAGCTCACATATATTTCATTATTATTATTATTATTATCTGCTTTTCTTTTCAAAATGGTGTACAAAATCATGACTAAAATCACCCACTCAATTATTTGAATGTAAACATGTGAACAAAAAAAGACAATGTCCCAGTAACAATCGTATCAGTGAGGTGATGTTGTTGTGATTAACCCATTTAACAACACACATGTTTAAATCTAATGCAACTAAGATCAGTCCGTTTAGTCATTAGCATACCAATACAAGTCAATTCAATTGCAAAAAATATTAATTGCAAGTTTACAGATCTTAGTTTTGAGACATTAAATATAAAATTTAAACTTGAATAGAATGAAAAAAAATGAATATCATTCTCTTGTGTACAAATATATATATATATATATATATATATTCACACACACATTTACATACATCTACATGTTACCCATTATTCAAAATATCCACATGTAATTTTATTAGTTATTAGAACAGTTTTTTAAATTTAGAGGAAAATTGTGCCATGTAGCCAAACTGGATTGATTGTGGTTTTATTGTGGTACACTCAAACTTCCAACCACATTTTTCTTTTATCTACCAAATATCTATAAAATGGGGCATTATTTATTTATTTAAGTAAAAAATGTTATTTTTTCTGCTATCCTCTTCTACTTTTATTGGTCTAAGCACAACCCATTTATTTAATTTTTTCATTCTCTCCATGTGAACATTGTGGAGCTTACAATTCTTTTTCAAATGTAATATAAATATTACCGTTTTGGTGTTCTATAAAGTGAAATATCTTTACAAAGAAAAGAAAAGAATAGGTCTCATGGAAAATGTCAAAAAGTCGAGTTTTTTTTGCCTTGGTTGGTTGGTTTGGTTTGGTTTGGTTTGGTTTTTGGTTTGGTTTGGTTTGGTTTTTGGTTTGGTTTGGTTTGGTTTTTGGTTTGGTTTGGTTTGGTTTGGTTTTTGGTGGTTTTTTTTTTTTTTTTTTTTTTTTTGGGTTTTGTTTTAAGTTCTGTTTTGGTATTGTTTTTGTTTTTGTTTGTTTGTTTGGTTGGTTTTTTTTTTTTTTTTTTTTTTGCTTTTTTGTTTTTGTTTTTTTTTTTGTTTATTTTTTTATTTTTTTTGTGTTCTTGGTTTTGTTCTTGGTTTTTGTTTTCTTGTTTTATTTTGTTTTTGTTTTTGTTTTTCTTGTATTTAAGATCTAGAAGTTTATAAAAAGAATAAAATTATTTTGGTTCTAAATTATTTTTTTAATATTTTTATTTTGGTAATTAAAATTTTAGAAATTAAAATATTTATTGAATTAATTATTTTTTGGCATTCTTTATGTATTGCTCAATTGCTAGTTTCTTAATCAGTTTTAAAGGTCTTACTTATTTGTCATGGCTACATTTTATTAAGGTTCATGAAGAAACTTCATTCTAAACAAACCTACAAAATTAATAAGAATAAATATAATCCATTTATTTTCACAAAAATATTTATTTAAAAAAAAAAAAAAAAAAAAAAAATCCACTGACAAAGCTAAAATTTTATCTGATTTGATCCAAATATAAACCATAAACTTATAATTGTGCCATATTTGATTAACATACAATTGACAATACAAGTGTTCAAGTTAGGTGTGAAGAAATCAATGTCAAAAACTCATAGCAATCTGCAAAGCAAAACATGAAATGATAATAGTTGCCATTCAAAAAACTACTAATGAAAATGTATTTATAATTAGCTAATAACACTACATACCAAGTTAAGAACGAGAGTATTTATACACTAGGTTTAGGAGTTTAGAATTTAGGGTTTAGACTCTAAACCTAAATCTTAAATCTAAACTTGGTTGACTTCAAATCATTTATTCATGTCATTGTAATATTGTTAATAATCAAATTATATTCAACATTCTTCATTCTTAAAGTTTTTTATATTTACAGAACATAAACAAAAGAACAATCATTTTTCAGACACATACAATTGAATTGTGCAAAGATATTTGAAAAAATCAACATTCTCCATTTTTAAAAGTTTTTTACATTTTTACAAAATATAACCAAAAGAGCAGTCATTTTTCAGACACATACAATACAACTGTATAAAGATATTTGATAAAATCAACACTCTCTATTTTTAAAAGTTCTTTATATTTTTACAAAATATGAACAAAAGAGCAGTAGTTTTTCAAACACATGTAATACAAAGAAGAACACAATTTCAAGTAACCTGAAGAAGGTTCTAGTACCCAAACTTTACAAATAACAAAAAGAAGGTCAACATTCAGTCAAACAGAACGAAGGTCAACATTCAGTCAAAGTATCTGCTATATTTATCCCAGGTAAGAGGCAGCAAAAGACAAAACCATCAATGTCTAGCATTCCTGTCCAAAATCTAGTTGCAATCATTTTGGAGATCAGAAATACTCAACAAGTAATGAAGATGAAAGTATTCTTGCATCTGAAAAAACAAAGTTGTTTGATCATAGCTGTGTATCCTGTCAGACAACTTTGTTTCATGGAAGTAGTGCTATGATGGTCGACATGGGCGATGTTATTGGCTTTTTACAGGTCTAAACAATCCAGTTAGACTAACAGAGGTTTCGATTTCAACAACAAATGCAAATGAAGATGAGAGTATTCATGTGAATAACAATTGCTCTTATGACTGCAAAACAACGTCTGTAACTATTTCGAACAGGATTCACTCTACACTGTGATACAAACCAACTCGATGTCTCTGTAGAAAAGCATTGTTATTCCAATTATTTAGATCTTGATAACTTACAAGAAGAGTTTTGAAATGGAGATGGACTTCTGAAAGTCTTGCTTAGTAGAGAATCCTCAAGTACCTGTAGTTTGCAACTGCAGTGTCTTGAACTATCCACAATCATGAAGAGGATCAGTAAACACACAACTGTACTTGGTTTGTAGAGAAAGTGATTTTGGCTATTGTGAGAAGTTTCTTCAACATAGAAGTTAGAGAATACACAAACCAAGATTGCTGCTACAACAAACGCCTTTGTAATAGAACTATGCTGAATTGAGTGTCTAAGGGTTATACAAATCGTCACCAGCCTTGGAACAAGGAACTGATCAGCTTAACAACGCGAGAGCACGAGAGAGGTGCAAAAGGATGTTCCTCATGTACTATTACTTTCGTATTCAAGTCTAGTTGAGAAACAAGACCTCCAACGCACTGTACTTGCTATCGTCGATGTGGAGAAAACTCGTCCGAATACAAAATCACTCCAAAGGAGCACCCTATAAACTTTCAGAGAAGAAAGTGTCCACGCATTCAACCTACGAAGCAGAATCAAGGTCGGTGCCAAAAGAAAGAAGACAAGTTCAGTGACAACGAACTTGTTACAATCCATCTTCACCACTCGCACAAAGCACTAAACTATCGAAGAAGATGTGGGTCCTGGGCGCGCGGCCTGCTCCGTACCGAGCAGGAGCACACGTCTTTAATCTGAAATCTGTACAAAGCAGATTTGCGAGTTGTGGTCTAGAAGAATCGCCAGCTATCGTCAAGGGATCCGACTTTCGCTCAGGGACAGTACGTGGCAAGCAGCCGGACCTATGCATGCGAGGCTCTGTTACAAAAACCATGCTCCTGGCAAAGATTAACAGCAAGTGTTAATGAAAGTTCAGTTGCATACATAAGCACTCTTGAAGTAAAACTGTGCAAGTTACTGGGGCGCACTTTACGGATAAGCTCGAACTGAATCGTTGAAGTCTATCGTTTCAATTTGGTACATTACCGTTCATAAATGCCTACGTTGAGTGGTTTTGCAGCCGATGATCATTACACATCATTGAGATTGCTCAAAATATTTACTGGAATTAATTCCTGGACATTCAAGTTGAAGCTTCACCATTGTCATGCCAGCAATGAGAGCATGACCACCACATCTAAGATTTGGACGTGCCTCATGCTGCATTGACACGTCGACCTGAACAGGTCTCCTGCACAAGAGGCAGGTGTAATGAATGTACCCTGCTTGTCCACGTACTCGCAGCTCCAGACACCAACAATCTTGATCCTCAACAACAGCAACCACCGGCAATACTGGTAATTTTGAAGTGTTACTGCGCTCTTGACACCGAGAAGCGCGTAGTAATATCTGCTCCTTTGTGCAATGGTGCACACCTTGCACCGCACAAGCACTAATTGCAACCACAATTCCGTGCCGGGTAACCGCCGCCGTATCTTGACCAGATCCCTTTGAATATGTGCGCATAGTAAAAAAAAAAAATCCTTTGCAGAGGGTGGTACATGTTGTATGGTATTCGTACCACGTCACCATCCGAAGGGGCATTGCAGGCCTTTGGTTGTGCTGGTCACATCCTGTGGAATGCAGTCGTGAAAAGATCGTTTTGTTTTTAATGTGAAAAAGCAGGTGTGGTTCAAACTTTGGAATTACGTGTCAAAATTATAGTTCATTATTATGTTTACGTCGGTGAAAAGGTTGTCCACTTCGAGGCCGTCCAGTAATTTTACTGAGCTTAACACATTTCGACGCAATGCCAGAAAAATCGAGAAACAGATTTGCGTGATCTGTGGATCGGATCACTGAAGACATGAATTTTGAATGTGTCGATCAACGAGCAAACACCCAGTGAAATTTTCCAGTCTGGCCTTTCTGCACATTCTTCGAAATCCGGAATTCCCGATGCCAATCCAGTTCCTAGAGAGCAGCAATGTGGCTAATTCGACGTCCGACGTGAACCCGAAGTTTTTCCTACATGAGGAGTCTATTAGCAGTTCAATACTACCATTTCCAACAGAGCTCAAAGTTATTGCTTTCATTGATATAAAATAGATTCACCTTCCATTTTTTCTGCAAACTTACATCATTCTACGCAAACGACCGCTCATGATAGTAGAAGTTAACCTGTTGACTTCTAATTCCCAGTAGAATAAATTCCAACTTTATTATTTTTCCCCGATAGAACTCAAGTTGAAGTACTGTTCACATCTATATTTTTGAAGGGAATTCCTCATTCAACTTATAACATCACAATATACATTAGACACTAGTTCGAAGTAACTGCAAAAGTGAAACCAACCGACCGACATGCGGTTTCATTTCCCTGACAATACAATTGTCAACACAGAACGCATATATAGAATGCAGACGTTTAGACCATCAGGGCCACCGTAGAGGCTGTGTTTTGACTCGCGTATGTAGATTGCAGTAATAGAGGAGCTGCCGCCTCTCTCACACATGGAGCTCTGGATATTTCCGGCGCAAACCCATCTAATCCACCTCTGGTTGGTTGTTAACCGCAACATGAAAACTCCTGAGAAGCGCAGTCCATCAATTACTCATTGCCTTTAAGAAAGCGATTCAGATCAGGACTGCTGTAAGTAGTGAAGTATCGCTTCCGGGGATCTGCAGCAGGCGTGCCAGTGCAGAGCACCATGTCAGAAGCTGGGTGTCGAGGAATCGTTCCACGGACTGGGTACACATGCACAGAGCACGCACTCATGCTGGAGCTATTGCTTCGGCACGCATCGAGCCAGTTTTGCTTTATTCATTTCGTATTCGCATTTCATAGTATCAGTTTTTCCTTTTACACCTCTAGACTGTTTCAAGCTCCGAGATGACTTTTCTCCAATTCGACGCGACAATTGAGTCTGAGTGTTGCAGATATCGATGGTCGGCGCCATGGAGGTTTCCTGTTCAGGTACCAGGATGCTGCTACGCTTTCACTTGGGAGTGAGGGCCGCTTTACACTACTGGACACCCTAGAGTCTACACTCCACAGGAGGAAGGGACAGAAAGGAGCGACAATAGTACAGAAGGAAATCAGAACTATTACGAAAGTGCGGATCAGTGGACAACATGGCTAGCGGCTTTCTGAACCATACAAATCTTTGTAAAACGGGTCCAGAGAAAAGATAGTCTGATGCCCACCTTTTGTAGTTGCCATTTGACTCCTCCAATGCTCTTCCTTCTCTAAGGAATCTGCACTTGCAGTGGCTTGTCTTTTTGTTTTCTTTACAGTAATTAGTTGATTAATTGCTTTTGAAACAGAAGGGATAATTCCTATGCTTGGTTGTAAATTTTACAGAGAGGTGGAGCTTGATTTCATAAGGCTCTTATGGAGAAGGTGACAGGCTTCCATTGCAGAGTGAGTAGTTTAGTTTGATTGGGTTTGAATCTAGAATTCTTAGTTTTTGGTGTATAATTCACAACTGAGAGAAACCCTTTGAGGTACTTGATTTGATGTAGTGATTAATTGTATAACTCATGAATTTTATGTAATTTGATATTTATAAATAAATAAATAAATATGTATATATATATATATATATATATATAGATATATAGATATACATATTACAATTATAAATTTTTAAATATAAAAATAAATACACACATTTTTCATAAATAATATCTTCTAAAAATACTACCAATTTTTTTTCTTAAGTGGTAGTTATATATACATATATATATAAATATACATACATATATACATATATATATATACATACATATATACATACATATATACATATATATATACATACATATATACATATATATATACATATATATATATATATATATATATATATTAGGAGAAGTTTGAACAGACACATGTTTTATATTAAAAAATATATGAAAACATCTATTAACTTGGTTCATCAGCCTCATGATTTTTTAAAAATCTCTATATGGTTATTTTCTAATTAATATATATATAAATATATATTATTCATTAAAATTATTTTTAATACTTTTAATATTTTTCTTATACTCTAATCTTGATTGAATAATTTTTGGTTTTTTATACTTAGCAACAATTATTCCAATGTTTTTATTCTTTTATTCTTTTCTTACCTTATGAAAATATGTGTATATATATATATATATATATATCTTTTCTTATTTTCTTATCAATAGCAAATATACATAAATTTCTTTAATACATTTGTCTAGCTTCTTGAATAACTTATATACATTTCTAGTAGAATTTTAATCAATTTATGGTAAATATAATGTTGTTTATGTAGCAACTAACAAAATCTAATATTTTCAATAAAAAAATTATATTTGTGTACAAATAAAAAAATTCAAAGCTTATATCAATGTTTAAAAAGATATTAGTTTAAAATGCTTTATAAATTACATTATTATTTAAGAATTTATTTGCTTATTTTACCTGATTTTCAAATATTGGATTTCACAATTAGTCATGTTGTCAAATGCAATATTTGATTGTTTAGAATTCAACTCAAAAAACAAATGATGAAATTTTAATGATTTTATACTTATATAATATTGTGATTTTATTAATAAAATATACAATTAGACATAAATGATACGAAAAATTAATATGTGTAATTCAAACATTTCAAAATAATATCTATATCTGAAAAAATAAATTATGTTGTATAGAATCAAATTATATTACCTAGTATTATTAAGAAAAAAAAAAACCCATATATATATATATATATATATATATACATATAATTTTAAAATAAAATATTGAATTAAAAAATAATTTTGACTAACCATGGTAATAAATACCTATATTACTTAAATATGTAGAAGTAAGTAGGTAAAAGTATAAATTTATTATTAAATAGATTTTTTTTAATTTAAAGAAGTTTCTTAGACATAGATTAGATATTTAAACTCCAATGAATATGCCATATAGTTATTTAGTTTTCTTTTGTAAGTTTCTTACTTTTAAAAAGTTCTATCAGAGGCAATCTACAACTTGATGTTTGGTCCGTAAGCCTTGTGGTTTGTAAAAAACTTCCACAAGGTGACTTAGTAGCAAGTATGAATGAAGGCAAAACTAAAGTTATCATCAATTTTATCAACACCTTTCTTGCATTCTATTGTTGGACATGATTTTTTAGCTTCTTTCTAATTATTAATAGCTATTCTAGCTTCTTTTTCTATCTTTTAGCTATCTCTTTATGTTTGTTTGTTTGTTTGTTTGTTTTTGTTTTTTGTTTTTGTTATTTTTTTGTTATTTTTTTGTTTTTTGTTTTTTGTTTTTTTTTTATAGTAACAAAAGAATGAATTATTTTCTTTAAATTTTTGTTCTTAATAATTACAACAAAAATTATGTATTTGGATATTTTTACATTATATTGTAAAATTCTCAAGTTATATTTAAAATTTATACTTTATAACATTAATATGTTTAGAATCTAAAATTTATATATTATCTTTTTCTTTATTTTTGATAAATTTAAGACCTTATGATAGTTATTTTTAATAAAAATTCCACTAAATGTAATAGAAAAATTTTATTAAAAAATATTTAAGTAAATACATCTAAAAGTCATATAAAGATGATCATATTTTTAGAAAAGTTATCTAAAAAACTCTTTTAATATGAATACTTAAACATAATAAGAATAATTCAATGGTATTTTTGTAATTAAGATCTCAAAAAATTATATTATTTTTGAATTATTGTAAATAGAAGAAAATAATTTTTAAATACATTAGATAATGCATAATCTTTAATATTTTCTTCATGAGAGTATATCATGATAAAAATCAAGTTGTAAGATATAGAATTAAATCTTCTATTTGTTAGAATAATATTTTTACACAAGATGGAGTATATATATATATATATATATATATATATAACACATAATCTCCATTTAAATGGAGCTTGTA